GCTAGCACACATAAAAATACAGTTTTTTTTGGGGGTATGTATTGATATCCCCAACAGATTTTGAGAACTGTCGGTCCGAGAACCGCTTCTTGAGGTTCTTTGCTTGTATCTGCGGTGACAAACCATTCGGGGGGGGGTATTGATATCCCCAACAGATTTTGAGAACTGTCGGTCCGAGAACCGCTTCTTGAGGTTCTTTGCTTGTATCTGCGGTGAATTTCAAACCATTCAACTACCTTCTACTGGGCTCCAAAGAAGAAGAGCTCATTTCGCACTCTCAAATGAAATACCCAGTTTGTATGTTTACTCAACTATTCCAAAACGACATCTATCTAGTGCCCGTCATCGATCACTCTTCGCCACCTTCCTTCAACGGGAAGTCGTTTGCTAATACAGTATCTTAGACAATTCATGCTGCTCTTCACACCATAAACTTTTAGACTTTGCTTCGGTCGTTATCGCATCGCATCGCTCAGCGACGACCCAATGACCACTAAGTGGCTATGTGGCTACCTTCGTGCATCGTTTTCTCAACTTCTTCCTCCCACGTCCGTGGATATCGCCCCTCCGTGGATCTCCGTGGAACCACTTTCGCACCAAACGTGAAAAGCGTCTGCCTCAGGTACAGACTAGTTGTGTAAATGCTGGAAGATTTCCCATACTTTCTCCGGATAAGATTTGACGTTTTCAAAGGGCGCTGAGTCTTAACTTCAGGGTCAGGAGGTCGTTGATCATCACTATCGAAGAGGGACGCCCGTTCTGAAGTGACCGCTTTCGGAGGATCCCTTTCTGTCACTACGTGTTTTGTTGTGTAATTGTTGACATCATTTCCTGCCCTTTATTTTTCTTGTGTGAACATGGACTCGTTTAGATGCAAAACTAGTGCTACCTGTTCCATTGAATTCAATTCCTTCGTGCCCGCGTCGCTTTACTGAAACGCAGTCCAACGTGCATCACGACCTTTTACACAGTTAGTCAATATGAAGCTGTCCCACAGTTGCTTCCATCTTTTAAACTCATAACGTGCGAACGGTGTCCGAAGTGCATGCTTGTTTCTTCGATTGAGTGGGATCCCGAGTGGCTGTTCTTTCCCAGACATTTGAGACAACAGGAAACGTCCGTGTGATAACCTCCTATAAATGCCAGTTACCTTTCGAAGTTGGCTGTTTTTGTCGTAGATATGATGATCGGTTTCTTTACTGCTCTGCATAGCCTAAGCGAAAAGTGCTATACATTGTTTGGTTTTTGGTCGTAAAGTTTTTGCAATTAAGATGTTTGTCGCGTGCCAACCACTAGGTGGCCTATGCGTTGTGTAACGTCTCATTGTGAAACAGGGCGTCGAGAAAAGGGCACCAAAGAAGCCAGTCTGAATTTTCGGAACATGGGACACCAGCATGACGAGAGCGTACCTCATGTGTGTCCCCAGTTGGTCTCTCCGGATCATTCTTAACTGCTTATGCGTAGTATAAAATTTCAAAACAAGGTGCAATCGGTCAGTTGGCTATAGCTCACCAAAACGAGCCACTTTGGCCTGGTAGTTGGGCTTCAGTGGTTCAGTGATTCCACGGGCTACACTAGCTGGAACTCCGCCTCCCAAGGTGGAGTCACGCCGGGAAAACCGTTAGGGGAATATGAGTGGGGCTCTGTACTATTATTCGCTGTATCGCAAGACGGTCTAAGGGCGGTAGGTGTATCAAGACAGTAAGATCTTTCCAACAGGCAACCAGCAGGACAATATGTATGAAGGCAGCGATGCTGCCTTCCCCCGAGGAAGGATGGGTTAGGAAATGACCCCGAAAACCTCACACGGTCAGAACAAAACCCTAAATTTTCCCGTTGCGTTGTAGGTCAGATTGAGCTAGAGGCTCAAGATAAACTCAGATAAACTCCATATTTTGGCCTGGGTACCCAGGAGATACCACTTGTCTTTGCATTCTTTCGTTCACGTGCCTTCATCCACATCCCTGCCCCTCAAGCGGTCCACTGAGGTCAATCCGTTTTCCGGCCCGTTATCATTGCCCTTCGTCTATGTTTATTATTCGGTAAACCAGATAACCCTTGCGGAATTCGATAGATCTAATCCACGTTACAGCCTTCAATGTCTGTACTCGCTTTCAAACCGAGCAGCAGACATCTGTCGCTGAAACCTCACGTTTTTCTGTGGAACTATGTTGTGTCTCCGAAACACACCCAAGGCCTTACTACGTTCATTACCCCTCAAGCCACTGACGGCGAACCTAGATGTTTCGCACTTCATGCTTCGAGTGTCTGGCGATACTGATGCAGTGGCAGGTGGTATATGCGGCTCCAGGAATGAAAACGCTTTGCCGAACTGGATTCCAGTAAGCGGTCTTTTTGCGCTGTGCCATTCCCTGGTTCAGTCAAGATCAGTGCAGAGCGACGCAAAAAATGATGTCTGAACCCCAATACCTACATGGAGTGACGCGTTTCACGGATGTTGCCGCCTGGACAAAACTGTAAGCCTGTAGAAAGTTCACAAAGCCTAATCGTTACGGCTACCTTCAGTGGGAGACAGGTCCAAGTCTATTTCTAGTCCTGCATGTGTCATTCCTTCCAAGTCATTCCACGACACCCGGTGTGTCGATAAATTCAGTGTAGCTTCTTTTAGTTGAAACAGTATTGCTTTGTCCTATAGGTACGAAGCAGGTTAGATCACGCGTCCTGATCGTATGTGAAAACAAACTAAGCTATTGAAAACTTTTCCAAGCTGTATTATTGTCTTTTTCCCAGCATATGGAGCTAAGCTGCATGAGGTGAATGCTTCACACGTGTTCTCCGACCCAGAACATTCCATTCTCAGCCAACCGTGAGGGTGTTAAAGTCAGCTAGCCCAAAGCGCTAGACAACTAGGTTTCCTGTGGACTTTGGATTCTTACGCACTAAGGGTAGTCGTTCTTGATATGCGACTCTGCTGGAGCGGTATTCCATTCCATCTTCATCTTTCTGGGTGTTCGGAAGCACGAACTTGAGACAAGTTGGTTCCCACCGCTAACTCCCTTTCAACCCGATACGTACAAAGCACTTCTTATCCTTTACGACTCAGCTCTTAGTCCAGAACTGCACGCCGAAGCCAAATTCCTGTGATTGTGGTAATGTGTGAGTTCCACTCTAACCAGCGTCTTCTCTTGTCCGTTTTGTTGCTGTCACGGTGAATCTTTCCCGCAATCACCATTGCATACGGTTCTGCTGGTCAACAATGGATCATCCACTGGAAGCTCGCGCATAGTGGGCAAACCATAAGCGGTTTGTTGGCAGCCAAATATGGTGCAGAGTGCAATCCGCTGATGCTGGTGTAATCCCGAGGGAATAAGGTCGGTTGGCTAACATGCAGAGGCCCGCATCCCACCCATCTCCCTTGAATTCCAGGCCTTCGTTGGCCCAAAGCTCCAGAAGGACTACTCTAACTAAGGCCTGGTCTTCAAGGCAGATGGGGGAAGTGGACCGTTCTTAGTCCATTATACTTAAACCGGCTCACGGCTCTCATCAAGCCTTCGTCCAGAGCGAAGAGTTTCGTCTTAAAGTTATCCTTCAGGAACTTTTGATTAACGAACACCTGGCCCTCAAGGAAAATTGGTGGAAAGTGGGCTCGTAGTCCACTGAGAATCGCTAATTGTTTCCAGTTCATATGCCCATCCGATTAGGGATAGCCGCCCAGGGTGCTGAGCGAAACCTTCGTCCAGAATGTTTGCTGATGAGTCTCAGTAAACTCCACCATTGGACACAAGTTTGAGCTCAAGTACATGCCAAAAGTGCTTCGTACGCCAATTAGCGATTTGACCAACTCCATCGAACAGGTAACCAATGATCTCTCAGCCTGATTGCAGCTCTGAATACTCACTTTCTTATCTTCCCCGGGCGACAGCATCTCCACCACGTGAAGACAAATAGAACCACCTGTTCAGCACCACATCTGGTGAGCGGCTTAGAGTACACCAGGCCTCAGTATGATTATTCCTACTCTGTAGGATATAGAGAAAACATTAGTTTCAACAAACAAGCTCTCCTCCAACACAGGCCTCTAGTGAACTAAGACCACGTTTGTATTGGCCTTATAAGGAAGTAAAAGGTTTTTGTTTTTGGGATGGTATCCAAATAAGTGGATTCGTGTGTCTTACGTCCAGCACTGTTACACACTTATGAGGATGAGTCATGTCCTGGTCACCCAAATTGCCTAATTGCAACCAAACGACGTTTGAGTGGACCGTGCGATTCCAGAATCTGTATTGGGCTTCACTCTACAACAGACACGGAATGAGGAGGACCTACGCACCGACCAAGGACCACTCGAAGGCCGATTTCAATGGGAACTGGGTACGCTGTTGACAACACGCTTTGTTATTATTAAATCCTGCAGAATCATCATAAACTTCAGTGTCGTATCATTTAGATGCCAATACTGAGTAGGAATATGTAGCAAACGTCAGACAGTTGCGTCGTGTGCGTAATGTGACACCGACGGCAGTCAGAAAGCCACAGTGTTGTTACGCA